AATAAATAATTCTTTATAGTGTGATGGTCCATATAAGTATTATGGTCCTTAGGGACCATCACCACTTTTGTTAACTTTTTCCTTTCATATACTACGTCTTTAGTTGACGTGGGCCTTAAACGTTTCACGTATAATATTATTGTCACACCTCGTGTATGATGTGGAGCTTAATAAATAATATAATAATGTGTCTTAAGAATTTAAATAGGAGAAATGAGGACTCCCACCCTAGAAAACTTTTGTATAAGCTCTCCCAATACACTGAGATCTTTCTCTCTCTAGTCGAAACGCAGTGAGCTCTTTCTCTCTCTAGCCAAATTTTACCGAAAGTCCCACTCAAACACTCAAATATTATGGGTAAGTGACTTCATTATCTTGAAAAATAATCCGTTCTTTTTAAAAATGAAATGAAATAATTACTTCTGCTTATTATCATGAATTTAAGACGCGATAAATTTTATGCGCAAACGACCTCATTATTTTGAAAAATATTCTTTTTAATAAAATTGCAATATTTTATCTATGTTAGAAATTCTAAATGCTGTAAATTCTTAGAAATAAATTTATTTATATTTTCTTGTCTATTGTTAGAAAATTTTAGATATTGTAAAATTATTAGAAATAAATGTGATATGTATGCTTTTAGTAAAATTGTGAGATTTCTTTCTACTGTTTTTGAATATTTAGACATTGTAAAATTCATGCGCAAATGACTGCCTTATTATTTGAAAACTGATATTTTTGCAATTGATTATAGCATTGTCTGTGAAATATTTATTTACGAATTGACATCCCATAAATTGTAATAATTTTGTATTCTTGAATTTCTATAAGAGTTTTTCTATACATATTAGATTGACAATTATGTTAAAATGTCTTTACGAACTGCTACCTTTTTAAATTTGAGCCTAAAATATTTGACTGGTTATTTTTGAAATGTTATTGAAAGTGACTGTTATTAATGGTTTCAGTGAAATTCATATTAATAATTTCAGTGATATGTTGAGTACATGATATTGCCGCTTTTGAATGTTTAAAGAGATTTAGAAATACTTTAAGTATGCAAGTGGACTCATCCGGTATACCGGTGAGGTATAAGTGGACCTGCAAGGATTAAGTGGACCTATCTGGGATGCCGATAGGGATTAAGTGGACCCATCAGGACGCCGGTGGGATATATAGGTGACCTACTTGGGACGCCAGTAGGTTAATTTGTGAAATCCTTTGAATTATGCACTGCCGTTAAAATGTTATATGCATTTTAATTATTCAGATTATACTTAATTATGCATTTTTGAAAGTGAAATTATTAATGCATTTATGTTAATAGATCTCCTTTTTGAAACTATTGATATCTTTCAACCATGATTATTTTTACGATTATGATGATCACTTACTGAGTAGCCAAACTCAACAAATTATGGTAAATATTTTTTCAGAAATAACCGCGGTTTCATTTTGAGTGCTCATCAGGATCAACTCTGGAAGATATTGTAGTTGTGCTTAAACTTTCTTTTGTTACTTTGTAAGAATTCGCCATTGTAAATTTGTCTTAAAAAGAGACGTATATATGTTTTGACTGTCACATCTCAGGAATATCAGTATTGTAAATTCTTGGGGCATGACATTGTGTGCAAAAATCCATTTTGATGAGTATTTTGATATATTAGACATGGATAACTAGATAATCTTGTTGAAGATTGTAAATGCTCGTTATCCTTTGGAGTGTTAAAGAAATTTTCTTTGTAAATTTATTGAAATTGATGTTTCGGTCAATCTGGGTGTTCATGCATATACATAGCACAATATTGGTGCTGGTACGATGGAATTTTCTGAATATTGGTTATATTTGTTTCTTACACTTGGTGTGGCATTAATATCTTATGCATTTGTATAATTACTGAATGTGGCTTTATCATCCTTTTGAAGTCTTTTGTTTCATACATTGATACATCATGCGTGTAAATTGGTCATGATTATCTCTCCTTTCATAACTACTCTTTGATTTCTCGTTGTTGATTTGGTGATTTACTTCTCCATTGTGAAAGGATCTATTATTTGATATCCGTTGTGGATAGAATATCATCGCATTGTAAGTGAATTTTAGTCATGCGCCTCTATAATTGTGAATATTTGTAAAATCCTCTGGTTTCTTTGGTATGGACAATAGGCCGGTTTGGAAACCAAAATACTTTTTTCTCATGTGGTGTTAGTGGTGGACATATGGAAAATATAACTCTTGCCAATGGGATGAAAACCAGTCTTTTCTCTAATCCAATACAGATACCCAGTTCTTATTTAACTTTCCAAGAGGTTATCAATCACAGAAATCATGAACTTTTAAACTTTCCAGGAGCTTATCAAACACATCAACTAGGAACTTCTTAACTTCCTAGAGAGGTTATCAAACACAGAAACTTACAGTTCATGAACTTGCTTCCGGTTATCAAACAAACCCTTAGTATAAGAGGTCGTAATTGTTTATAACCATTGGATGTAAAATCCAATAGATTGATGTGACAACATTCGAGAAAATTTATTTTAGATTTTATGCCCAATCAATGACACATCTTCAACCATCCAATTTTATATTTAATGGTTAATAATGATTGTCATCTCATTATATAAAAAAGAAATAGTCACTACTCTTTCCAAAAACCAATGGTGCTTGATAACATGAAGTTGCTTCCCAGATGTTAGAACTTACCTGTTACTGTTCATCTTTTGTGTTTGATAAAAAACAGTAAGATAAGTAAATAACTTCCACTTACTGTTCATGTTCTGAGCTTTATATATACAAAAGGTTCCATAAAAAAGGTCGGAACTCGAAAATGGAACTTTATATCAAAGCTCCTCCGGATAAAATTGTGCCCTAAATACAAAACTTTCGTTCTCCTCTCTTCGCACTCAGTTGCTCAGCCGGACCCCTCTATTCGCATTCAGCCTCTCTCTAGCAACCACAACCATTTGTGCTACCAGGTAACTCTCTCCTTTCTCTCTCTATCTTTAAGAAAGAAGCATCAGAAAGAAAACCAGAAAACGAGAAAAGTTTGCCCTCTCGTCATATTTCTCTCTCTAAATCACCATCTCTGGTTCTCTCTCTCACTTGCTCCTCTTTTCCTTCAAAGGAGCCAAGAGTCCAAGAAGACGGAGGAGGAAGCAAAGAGCAGAGATGGCAAGAGGTATGCCAGTGAGCTCTAATTCTATGTTCTTCTCGAGGTATGTTAGTGAGCTCTGATTCCATGTTCTTGATCTCTCTCTCTTTCCCCTGGATCTCTTCGTTTATCCTTTTATGCACTGATTCTTTTTCTATATCTAATTTTCTCTAAAGGACCCAATGCTTTTCCCCCTGGTTTACATTCCTTGGGTTTCCATACGAGAGAGGGGTTCAAGGTGGTTTACTTCCGATTTTGAACCGATTATTTGTGATACCTCCTTAAGTCTTGAACTGATTTAAGAATTTTGTGTGGGAATCTTATGATTGGATATTTTGTATCAGAAGAAAGGGCCATAGTTAACTGAGATTTCGCAAATTGTATCTTGAGTTTAATTTTTGATTTTTTGAGTAGATTTATAAGTGATATGGGGCTTAAAGGGGTTTTACATGTGGATCAAAAGGAATTTTCCATAGGGATCCCTGTACTGATGGTTCTCTAACAACTTGTTTAACACCAGGATGAATTATCCCTTCATGTTTTTTTGGTTCCTGATGGATTTCCATCATTAGATTATCTCGTGTTTGTGGGTTTTTTTATTTCAATTAGAATCTGAACATCGCCTGGAAAAATATTACTTGTTTTTACAATACTAGTAATTGTAATTGATCATCCTTTGTCTCTGACAAATTGTCTTACAAGTTTGTATTTCAGTGATGAGAACAAAATTTTTTATAGTTGTATGCAAAAATTAACTTAGGTTATTTAGGGCTTCGTGTCCCGGTTCGGACCTTGGATTCTCTTGTTGTAAATTTTGTGATTCTTTATTTTTTTGTTTTGAATGGTGGATTGAAACTTTGTTTTTTTGTTTTGATGCGTCTATTTCTCTTTTATGTCAACCTTCCTTTCTAGTTCTGCAAAAGACTTCAAACATATAATAGCTTTTTTTATCTTTTTCCAGTGGTTGTTATGTATTCATGCTAGAGGTTTAGGATTTGGTGATGTATGTGGATTAAACATAACAACTTTTGTAAAATATTGCAGGATGAATAATTATCAAAATTCTCTTGAGAAGTAATACAGTATCCTTTGGGAATACAGGTTGATGTAGTTGTTGCCTATGCAATATTGCACAACTATATCATGATGACACAAGGAGTTGATAGCAATAGAGAGTTGCATTTTCGAAAGAGGGTTGAAAGACGAGTAGTAGTTGAAGGAGACAATTTCTTGCTATTGACTCAGGGGCAAGCTCATGATGATGGTGTCAGTCTACCAAATGCCATGACGACACAGCTGTGGGGGCCTACCCAAATCGCTAGAAGTTTTTTGGCACATTTCTTATGTTGAAATTGGTTTACTTGCATTAAGTAGTTGAGCTATTCAAGTTTTGTAAAAAGCTCTATGACATTTGGTGAGCATTAGATGTGCTACCTTATTGTCGTTTTGAGAGAAAGTTTGGATTATCTGAGAACCATATTGTTGTTTTGATGAGAGTTTGGATTATCTAAGAAGGTCTATTTGGTGTGTTATGTGTGAGAATTGTATGACATTTCATTTTCAGTGTATGTATTGTTTTAGTGGCTGTGTGCATGACTTGTTAGTGTATGTATTGTTTTAGTGGTTGTGTGCATGACTTGTTAGTGTATGTATTGTTTTAGTGGTTGTGTGCATGACTTGTGAGATTCAAAATAAAATGTCTTTGATGTTGTATTCTTGTTCAATTGGTTACACTCTTTCTTGACTATTGAGTCTATTGGATTTGATGGCTAATAACTTGGCGTATCTTTTTTCTGTTTAACTGTTAACATGGTGTCTTTTTTATTGTTGGAGACCAGACAATTGTGGTTCCCTATCCAAAATCTAACGCTTCTCTGTCTAAGAAGCCTCTCTCACTTATCAATTAAATTCTCTCTCTCCCTCAATTCAGCTTATTGTATTTCAATTGATATTTTATTTTAAAAAATAATTTTTTTAAAAATTAATAAAAAATAAAAAATATTTAATTCTCAATCTTAAAATTTCAGATGATACCTATAACTTCTATGGCTAATCAAACACATATACCTAAAATTTTATAATCTTCCAACACATTATCAAATGCACTTGATTAGAATTTACTTAATATTTCAGTAAGTTATCAAACACAAAAACCCAAAATTTATTGAGCATTCCGGTAGATGGAATATGAAACGTAAAAACCCATCTAAGTACGAATCTAAGATTAGAGCTCATTGATGAAACATATCCAAGTAGGAACAGGGGTGAGTCCTAGGTCCTACGAAAAGTATCCTTCCCGTAATTCGAAACGTCAGTCATGAGAACGAACCCGCCAAGTTCGATGATGGATCCGAACCAAAAAAGCACCGGTGGGATTCACCGACGAAATCGGTGCCGTCCAAATCTCATTCCGAGCTTGTCTTATCAACGGTCCAATCTAGGCCATGTCATCGATCCCGGCCCACTCCCATCATCGAATAATACCACCTTTCGAAAATATATATAACCAAAACACGCTTTCAACTTTCCTTCACCGTTTCTTTGGTACTTTCTCTATCCTTGAACTGAAATCATCGATGGCGCCGAGGGCAGAGAAGAAGCCAGCAGAGAAGAAGCCAGCCTCCGATAAAGAGGAGAAGAAAGTTGCAGAGAAGGCCCCTGCCGAGAAGAAGCCCAAGGCCGAGAAACGCCTCCCTTCAAAAGAGGGAGGAGCTTCAGATAAGAAGAAGAAGAGGTCAAAGAAGAGCATCGAGACCTACAAGATCTACATCTTCAAGGTCCTGAAGCAGGTTCATCCTGATATTGGCATCTCCTCTAAGGCCATGGGCATCATGAATAGCTTCATCAATGACATTTTCGAGAAGCTCGCCCAGGAGTCCTCGAAGCTTGCTCGCTACAACAAGAAGCCCACCATCACTTCGAGGGAGATCCAGACCTCTGTGCGTTTGGTTCTTCCTGGTGAGCTTGCTAAGCATGCAGTTTCAGAGGGGACCAAGGCTGTCACCAAATTCACCAGCTCTTAGGATGTAATTGATTTCTAGGGTTTCTCTTTCTCTCTCTCTCTCTCTCTCTCTACATATATATATATACTCCTTCTCTCTTGTTTCTCTTGCTAAGGGATGTTTTTGGATGGCC